ATATCAGATTATCAGATGATTTTACCCGTTTATCCGTAGTCCATCTAAAACTCATCTCCTAAACAAGGTTCCTGAGTTCTGCAGATGACTGTTCTTATTAACATTGGATTATGATTGTGATCTGCCAGTAGCATCAAGAGCTTTTATTAAAAGAAAACATACTCTGCATTCTTGCATATATAATAATGTAAAATCCTGTCCTTTATCCTACAATATCATTTCTGTAACAGGTTACTTTACTTTGGATTCATCTACCACTCTAACAGCTATATGCAGTGAGTGGTTCAGGCATGAAAATACTGAAAAACTTTATTTCAACTTTCCCAATTTTAAGAGAAATGTTTTTATTAGTGAAATTGTCCATCTCATGCCTAAGGCCAATCAGTACGAAAGCAAGCATGCCCCATAAGGGAAACAAGGTATGGTTTTTCAGTTAAACTTTTATTGAAAAAATGATTATTGTAATCATCATTTTAAATTTTAGAATCCACTTCTCCAATTAAAACTTGTTCAGTGTAATCAAAACAAAATGACTTTCCCATACCTTATAGCTCCATACTACCTACCAAATCCAAAAACCAAACCCGTTGCCTTTGAGTCAATTCCAACTCATAGCAATCCTATAAGACAGAGTAGAACTACCCTATGAGGTTTCCAAGGAGTGGCTGGTGAATTCAAACTGCTGACCTTTTGGTTAGCAGCCAAGCTCTTAACCAGTACGCCACCAGGGCTCCCCATGCTACCTAGTACTCCCTTTATGATAAAAATATGTGTTATTAATTATAATCACTGCTGTTTGCCATTACACTTAACCTAATTGTTTCTCATCTAAAATACTTCTACTTTTTAAAGCATAGTTCCATATCTTTGATGCTGAAAGATCATTTTTCATATTTTTACAGACTAGCGAGAAAATTTACTAAATGTACAACTGATTTTTCCATTAAGATAGCACACCCTGATAAATATACCTAAGGCTACAGGAACCGTATAAATCATCAGACACCTTGATAAGATGTTTATCCTAAATTTTTCAGCATTTTTCAGATCTTTATTTTTATATAATAATCTAGAACAGGTGTCAGCAAACTACAGCAAGGGGGCCACATTTACCCACTACCTGTTTTTGTAAATAAAGTTTTATTGGAACACAGCCATATTTATTTATTTACGCACCATCTATGGATGCTCTTGCACTACAGTGGCAAAGGCAAGTAATTGTAATAGAGACGGTACAGCCCGCAAAGCCCTAAAATATTTACTATATGCTCCTTTGTAGAAAAGGATTGCTACCCGTGATCTAGAAACTATTTCCTAAATGGGTTTTAAGATTCTATGAAGTTTCTAAGTTCTCTTTGCAGATATTTAGTGTGACCGGTGAAATGACACATTTTCAATCTTAACCCATGCACTTCATTTTTAATCTTTATGTATTGCTTATATATATTTTAAAATTGACTCTATTTCTTTCATCTGAGTATGTTGCCCTTGCAAAATAAATGATATTTCTGAAACTGTTTCTACAAAACTAAGATAACTTAAAGATTAAAGAAATTTATACTTTAATCTCTTGATTTTGATAGCTGCCACAAGTTAGGAAAATATTGTTTGTTTTTCTAGGCTGCCTTGTTTAATAGTGTTCAATTAACACGGTACCCAGAGGCTTTGAAATCAACATCCCATTGAAATTGAGTGGAGAATGATAGAATTAATTTGAAGTATAGCACTCTATCAATTTGTTTTGGAGTTAGGTAATGGTGAGAAAAAAAGAAAAACTTGAAAATAAAAACATTGGAAATCTATTGTAGTTAGGAGCTCAAACTTTGTTGAAAGCAATGTTTGAGGAGTATTTACAAAAAGCATATAATCTCTTTCTACTTATAAATATTGAATAAAGACACAGCCCATGTGTAAGAAAATAATCATTTAGATTTTCCCTTATAAGATTCTGTAATACTAATATGATGGCATAGGATGTTATAGTATAAAATTTATTTCACATTAATGTGTCACGCAGAATTCATACACATTTTTAAAATTCTGTCTAAAAGGTGAAATCCCCATTTATTCATTGTTCAACAATTGTCAACCTACATACATGCTATGTAACACATTGCTTTGGTATTAAAAACAGCCAATATGTACTGAAAATTTACTACGTACCAAATATTTGACTTTTAATCCTTATATAACACCCCCACTCATTTTACAGGTGAGGAAACAGGCTTACAGCAGACAAAGATATGTAAAATCACATACACTTTTGTGCCCAAGCCTAGATTCTGACTCAAGCAGTTTGACTCCAGAGCCTCACTCTTAACCATGTTCTCCAGCAATCTTGTGAGTAAGATAACACCAAAGCAAACAATTGTAGTGTAATAATAGACACTTGTACTTGGTATTAAGGAGGCACTTAGAAAGAGTTGCTAATTCTGCTCTGGTGGGAAGAGGAGATGCTTCTCAGAGGAGATAATGCTTGAGCTGAATCGAGATTGGGTTTACTAATTAGAAGCAAGGAAAGTTATTCCAGACATAAGAATTTCATGTTCAAAGGCAGAGTCATGAGAGAGCAAAGCATATTCAGGAACAGCAAGCAATTTGCTATGCTTGGAGCATAAGGTGCATGAGAACAGGTTGTAGAAGATGGGGCTGAAGGAGTAGGTTAGGGGCCTGGTCATGTTGTACTGTCAGTCAGTGGTTTTCAAGTTCAGTGTGTTAAGAATCACCTTGTGGTGCTTGTTTAAAAATGAAGATTGCTGGTCCCCAACTGCCAGAGACTCTTATTCAGTTAGAAGCAGGAATTTGCATTTTAACAGGCACCCTACATGATTCCAATGTGGGTGAACCTCTTTTAGAAACACTGTATGCTAGAGCATGACGTGGTTAATGCATTATGTTTTAGAAACACAACTCAGCAGCTCAGTGGAGGGAGGAATGTGTTCGCAAACGTGATTTTTGGTTTATTTAGACTCCAGAAATAATTTAAAGATGGTTTTCTTAATGATTTGTAACAAACACACATACACACACCCCTTTGGTTATCTTTGCTTTTGGGTACTATTGAGTTTACAGGTTATTAAAGAAAATGCTGAAAAGGCAGGGTCCAGTTCTATTCAATTTTGAAACCAAAAGACCAAATCTTATTTGTGTTTGCCATTCTCACTCCATCTCATCCTAGCAATTAGTGAACTGACAGACCAATTAATGGGGAATCAGTTGTGAATGAAAGAATTGAATCATGTATTTTCAGTAGGACCTAATTTCACACAATATAGCTGGGGATTATTTAGGTAAATCCAGCAAGTTGCAGTGTTTCTGTATTTTTCCATGTGAATAATTTAATAAATTAAAGCACTAATAACTGTAAGGTAAAATTTCAGTCAACCCACAAATTTAAAATTTGGTGCCATCTTGTTATAAAAAAGGTAAAAGTTATTATTTTTGACTGGTTTTGGATACATCGGAAAAGAGTAAATGAAAAGAAACTGTAATCAAGTAGCTCCCAAACAATATTTTTTTCATAGAAAATCAATTATTTCCCATCTTGCAAAAGAGATTATCAGTAAATTCTTCAGTATTTAAACAAACTTGAAAAAAAGATGAGTGGACATCATCTAACTCTTCTTAAATTAAATAGACACCATGCATCAGAATCTCATTGGGTAAGCAGAGATGGCTTTGACCAACTGGGGAATCTCAAATCACAGGATGCCACATCACACATTGATGTTTATTCTACCCTTAAGCTTGTTCAGTACAGATGGTAGTTATAAAATAACTGAGCTTTAATGGATCATGTCTGGAGAGAAAGATAGATATGTTCTTTTTTGTTGATAGTAGAGTTGTTTTCACATTCCACTTGAATTAAATTATGCTCATTCGTGCCATGGTACATAGTCTCTGTCAAGGATTCTTAGAAGAAGCCATCATGTGAACTCACTACAAATCAAGCATTAAAAAAAAAGTTTTCAAAGTAGCACTTAGAAGCCAATAGGCAATATAAAACAAAAGTTGAAGGGCCTCCATTTATTTTGAAAAATATATAAACATCTGTTTAGATTCATATTGATATATAGACATTATACAAATATGTTTATATAATATTTAGATTTAATACTAACATTTAATATTAAAATGAAGGGCCAATATAAATCCATAATTTTAATAGACTGGCAAATGTTTTATATTTTTAATATGAAAAAGAAGTCATGTTTCAGGCATACTAGAGAAAATTAGTGTGAGACACTGATCCTAACTTTAAAATGTTCACAACCAAGTTTGGTACATAAGACATAAGCCCATGAAAACTTACTTTAAAAAATTTAAACAGTAAAGTAATATGTGATCACAGCGATTATAAAGCTTTAGCAGAATGTGCTTTGGATAATATTTGCTGGACCATGAAAAATGGGCTGTATCTGGAAGATAGGGAGGGATTGGACAGAAAATTATTCCAGCCAAAGAAGAGAATATGAGTAAATGAAATCTTACTAAATCTTGCTTGCTGAATTAGACCTTTTATTCATGAGCTAATCATAGAGAAAGAGTTTGTGTGACTGGTATGTCTTTGCATAATATTCAATCTAAAATTGAATAAAAAGATCTGACAACTTGAAAAGCTATACTTGCAAAAAAATTGCATCCATTCATTTCGATGATGAGAAAATAAAATTTGAGGAAAAAGAAAACCAACTTCATAGACTAGTGATTGCTTTTACCTTTATATTGGAATTCAGGCTCTGCATATTGTGATCTGCCTCAGCAGAGTAATATGTTACTATATGGGATGATAATAGTGTGATAACCTAAAGAGTGAGTGATTTCTCAATTGCACTGTGAATGTTTCACTGCTCCAGTTAACAGTTCTGTAGAAGAAAGACTATATTGTGCTAAAATGAAAATTTAAGAATTAACTACTACCAATTTTTTAATTTTAATTACTGCCCTATATCCCACACTTATACTTTCTTTTCTGAACTGCCGTGTGGTCTTCTTTCAAGATGTTCCAGTGGATTTGATCGCCATCGGCAGGACTGGGTGGACAGTGGATGCCCTGAAGAGGTATGCCTGTGCTTTATTATGGCAAGATTCCAGGGACCTAGATGTCATACATAGATACTACAATGTAATGGAAGTTCTATCTAATTTAACATAAATACTTAACAGTTACCGAGTCCCTAATATGTGTCAGACATTGTGCTTAACTGTTTATGTGTTTTATCTCAACTTATTCTCATATCCATTCTATGAGGAAAGTGCCGTCATTATCCCCATACTGCTAAGAGAAGAGAGGGAGGGATGAGGAGAGGTGGTGGAGGAGGGGTGCTGTGTGAGTGCTTAGAGAGTTAGGTACCTGGCTAGGGAATAGTAGAGCCAGGATTTACATCTGTGTGAGCAAAGGGCAGTTCTCTTAAACACTTGCTGCTTTTCTAAGATCTAGGTAGGGGTCCTTGGGTGGTGCAAGTGGTTAATGATTTCAGCTGCTAACCGAAAGGTTGTAAGTTCAAGACCACTCAGGTGCCTCAGAATAAAGGCCTGGCAATATACTTACAAAAAATCAGCCATTGAAAACCCTATGGCACACAGTTCTACTCTGACACACATCATGAGTCAGAATAGACTCAACGGCAGCTTGTTTTTAAAATCTAGGAGGCCATTTTTAGTATTGTTAGCTTACAAAGAGACCAGTGGTATGGAGGAAAAGACTGGTTACAGCAAATTTGCCAGATATAAGAAGTGAGAAAGGTTGTAGCATGGAGACTTTAATGCCAAGGAAAACATGATTGAGACAATAATGCGATGAAGTAATTCAAGCAATTGTACACAGATGCAGAAGAAATTTTAACCTGTTTAAAAGTTTTTTTAGTGAATTGTATTTACATTGTCCTTTTGTAGTCACATAAAGGTATCCTATAAGTTCATGAAGAAATACTTATTTTTTTCTTTCATTAAGTTTTAGGGAATGGATTTTTAATAAAAACCATTAACAATTACATAAAATTTCTCATTCAGCAAAACAATGCATGTCAAAGTTCTATTTTAAAACTATTAGGAGATCAGTGGTTACTAGAGGCTTTTTTTTAAAAAAAAAACTTGGATTTTTGTGAGTAGACTTTATTTTTTAGAGCAGTTTTAGGTTTACAGAAAAGTTGCGCAGAAAGTACAGAGTTCCCATATACTCCCCTCCCTCCCTCCACAGTTTCCCCTATTATTAATATCTTACATTTGTGTGGTATATTTGTTACAATTGATGAACCAATATTGATACATTATTATTAACTAAAGTCCATAGTTTACATTAGGATTCATTCTTCGTATAGTTCAGTTCCATGGGTTTTGACAAATACTAGGGTCATGTATCCACTATAAGGATATCATAAAGAATGGTTCCACTGCCCCAAAAATTCCCTATGCTCTACCTACCCTCCCCCATATTGGTATAGTCATAGGTATATTTCAGGCAGACCTTTCTTTCATGTATATAACCTGTTGCCTTCAAGTTAATTTCAACTAATAGCTACCCCATAGGGCTTCCAAGGCTATAACCTTTACACGTGCAGGTTGCCACATCTTTGTCTTAGCAGAGCAACTGGTGGGTTCGAACCACCAACATTTTGGTTAGTAGCTGAGCACTTAACTACTGCACCCTCAGGCTCCTTCATGTAATCATAGTTACCCCAATAAACAAAGTTGAAATTTTAAAGATTAAGAGTGTAATTCAGATGTTTTAATTTTATTGCTTCAGTGTGAAGCATAGGAGATAGAGAAGAATCCATCATATTTTAAGCCCTGCCAAGTATATGGAGAATTCACCATAGTCTGTATAGACTATGATTACTAAATGTACAAAGATAAATAAAAAATGGTCCCTCCCCTCAAGGAGCTCAGAATATAGTATATCCGTGTTTAATGTTTCCTTTTATTATGTATTTTACATGTACTTTTATATAATTTATATGAACTATATATTTTGTATGTAATTATCAACATCACTAGCTTTGTGATAAGCAATTCTAACCTTTTACAGGTAAGTAAACAAGGTCACCAACTCTAATTTTCATATCTAGAACTAGGGTTAAATTAGATTTTTTGATTCTGTAAGATGAATTTATTCAGTAGCTATAAATCCTAATATGATCGCCATCTATGAACTGTTCTGAGCACTGATAAGTAAATGTCCAGCAGGGTAGACAGACCACTAAGCAAAGAGTTGCGCTTAGAGAAAGACATGGGCAAAGACAGTAACTGCAAGTCCATGGTCTGGTAAGTAGGATAAAGGAAGGTTTGCTTGAGGGGGTGATAATTAAGCTGAAGTCTAAAGGGTAATTGAAGCAAAGGAGAGGAATGAGGAGATACGAGATTGGTGAAGTAAGCAGAGCCCTAAATGTGACCAGCTGAAGAAGTTTACTTTACCCTAAGGACAACGGAAAGCTATCTGAAGGGTTTAATCACAGGGATGATATGATCCAAATTGCTTTTTGGAAGGATCACCCTGGCTATGAAGTGAATAATGGATTGTGAGGCAAGACGCCAATTAGTTGGCTCTAGCTATAACCTAGGCCAGAGATGCTGGGGATCTGGATTATTTGGGGGAGAGAATGGTGGTGATGGTGGTCATGGCAGCAATGGTGATGGCGGTCATATCGGCAGTGGTGGTGGCGGAAGGATCAATAATGGGAATGAGAACTATGAATTTTTTTTCCTGTTTTATATCTTTTTAACAATTTTTTTACAGCATTAATGTAATTCTGAAGCACAATAACAAAATGAATACCCGTGAGCACACTACTCGATTTAATAGCTAGAACATTATCGGTAACTATGAAGCTGGCTGTTTGCTCTTGCTCTATAGCAGACCTGCCTTTCCCTGTTAAAAAGTTATAAAACTATCTTGAATTTATCATTCAAGATATCTTTAGTATAAAAGAGTTTTTTTCATATGCATATGTATCCTAAATTATGATAAAGTTTGCTTGCTCTTAAATTATGTAAAATATAGTATCATACATTCTGTAGTTTTGTCAACTTTATTCACTAGAATTATGTTTATAACATTTATCAATGTTGGTGCATGTGGTGGTAATTTATTCATTTGCATAGCTACATTTTCTGTGATATGAATATGCATTCATTTACTCAACAAATATTTGTTGCATTCCCATGATGTCCCAAGCACAGTTTTAGGTAATGGAATACGGTAGTAAGAAAAAAAAAAACAAAACAACAGCAGAAGCCCTGGCCTCCTGCAGTTTACATCTTTCCAGTCATATTTTCATCACTCAGTCTTTTGTTTATGAACACTTGGATTGTTTCCAGATTTTTGCTATTACAAAAATGTTCTTGTGCATGTCTCCTGAATTAAATGCACAAAAATTTCTCTAATATTTCTGAAAGTTGAATTGCTGGGCCTGAGTTATATAAGTGTTCAACTACAAAAGATAATGCAAAATTGTTTCCAGTTCACCAATTTACACTTCAAGCAGAGTGTTTAAGAATTCCTTTTATTTCACATTCCTGGATAAGGATCCCTAGTGGAACAGTGGTTAAAACGCTGGGATGCTAACTGAAAGATCAGCAGTTTGAACCTACCAGTCACTCCGTGGAAGAAAGATGTGGCAGCCTGTTTCCATAAAGATTAAAGCCTTGGAAACCCTGTGTGGCAGTTCTACTCTGTTCTGTAGGGTCATTATGAGTCGGTATCAACTCGATGACAGTGCATTTGGTTTTGGTTTGACAACCCTGATATTGTCAGAACTCTTAATTCTGCTAATGTAGTGGACGTGGCGCAATGGTTAAACACTCGGCTGCTAACCCAAAGGTTGGCAGTTCAAACACACCCAGTGGCTCCAAGGAAGAAAGACCTGGCAATCTGCTCCCATAAAGATTATAGCCTAGAAAACCTTATGGGGCAGTTCTGTTCTGTCACATGCTATTGCTATGAGCTGAAAGTTGACTAGACAATGCTTAACAAAAACAACAATGGATATAAAGGAAAATCTTATTAGGCAGGGATCTGTTTCTAGGTTCTCCTTTTCTAATGCTCAAATTGTCAATACCTGGGCCAATGTCATACTGTCTTAATTACTATAGTATTATAAGTAATCTTGATATTTTAGAGAACAAAGTCTCATTACTTTTCTGTCTTCACAAGTGTTTTGACTATTTTGGAACTTTTATCCATATAAATTTTAAAATCAACTTGTTAAGTTCTGCAATCAGTCAATCTTGTTAATATTTTTATTGGAATTACATTGAATTGTGCATTTATATCATTTAAAAATAGACATTTAAAGTATTATCATCTTGTTGATATAATTTATCTCCTTTAGTTCTTATTTCATGTCTTAAATAATTTTATAATTTCAACAATTTTTTTTAGATTATTACTAAGTAATTTATTGTTGCTGTTTTAATTGCAATTTTTATTACTAGTATGGATTCTAACTATTTGTTGATAGAAATGTGCTGATTTTTGATAGTGGTGTTATATTCAGCCACATTGAGAAAATGATATATTCTTAATAGTTTTGATAATTGGTCTTTTGATTGTTTGTTTTTCTATTTAGACTATCATGTCATCTTTGAATAATAGCAGGATGGTTTCTTCTTTCTGAGATGATGCCTTTTATTTCTTAGTTTATCTTATCTTCCTGGCCTAGTAAGTATCTTGTCTTGGGCTAGCTTCTCTAGAGAAACAAAACCAGTGAATCATATGTGTATACATATAAATATATATAGAGAGAGAGATTTATCACAAAGAAATGGCTCATGTGATTGTAGAGGCTGACAAGTCCCAAGTCCATGGGTCAGGTGTCAGGCTGGAGGCTTCTCCTGACTCATGTAGCTGCAGTGGCTGATGAACCCAAGATCAGTAGATCAGATGGCAGGCTGCTGCTCACAGGCTGTGAAGGCCAATGAATCCAAGATTGGCAGGTAAGATGGCGAGCTGATGGCTCACAAGCTGTGGAGGCTGATGAATCCGAAGATCAGTAGGCAATGCAGCAAGCCACTGTCTCAAGCCCCTAGAACTGGAGGTCAGATGGTGATGCACCAGATGCAGG